AAGAATATATATTCTTCTTCTTATATATATATATATATATATATATATATATGAAGAAGAAGAAGAAGAAATATATATAGATATTCGTTTTACATTTAATGGCCTAAGTCTTTCGATGCCACAGACCCTCATATATAAAAAATCCCTTGCGAGGGACCTCCTATGTAGTATATAAGCCTACAGGCAGCATTTTCGTGTATAAACATCAATTTATTCTGTAAAAAAGAATATGTGATTTTTTTGGTTTGTTTATTGTTGTGTGTGTTTGTTTTTCTCCATAGTCTTTCGTTATCACTTTTCCTGACATTTCAGAGTAGTAGAATTACAAAATACAGGCCAGAAGGAGTCTGCTTTAGCCTATTCAGGTAACACATGGGATAGAAAATATATATATAAAAAAAAAAAAAAAATATATTTCGAGATTTTTGGGGGTCACTGGACCCCATGAGTTTGAAAACCGACTAATAGGCCTATACCGTTCGTTTTAGATTGTTCTTAGCTAAATAGATTTTCACTGCAATTCCTCAACATCAGCAGGAGATGGAGACATTCTGTCGTAAAACAGTTCCAATTGACACAAGTTGGATATTATCGGTGCAATCGCGATAGATATGCACATGAAAGAAGACCTGTATAAGAGGCTATATATAAGTTAATATAAGTTAAGTATTTTAAAATGAAGTCTGGTTTAGCAAACTAAATTTTAATAAATTTTTACTAAATTCAGTAATTCAGGCAACACGTGGGAAAGGATTTTTTATTATTATTTTCTTTATTTTTTATTTCTTATTATTTATTTATTTTTTATTTTTGCCATGTTTAACCAGTTTTACTTAAAATAAATAATAAATATTCGTTTTACATAATGTAAACCTTAAAAAGTTTTAATTTTAAAAAGACCCTCAAATACAGGGACTTCCTTTCTAATATAGGCCTACAGACAGATCCATTTGAAAAATCTATCCACTATGGAAAATCTAATATCTAGAAAAGTTTTAGGCTACTTTCTGTTAAGTTTTATGCTTTTTATCTTTCAATAGGATTAAATAGTCTTTGATTATCAAACTTTATTGATTATGATATTAATAATATTTTAAAGGGGTCATATGATGCGATTTCAAGTTTTCCTTTCTCTTTGGAGTGTTACAAGCTGATTGTGCATAGATAAGATCCCTGAAGTTGCAAAGACTAAAGTCTCAAAACCAAAGAGATATTCTTTATCAAAGTTAAGACTCTGCCACGCCCCCCTAAAACGGCTTGTTCTAACACGCCCCCACATATCTAGGTCACTATGTGGGAATATTTGCATAATGCCGCCCAAATGTTCACGCAAAGAAAGAAGGCGTGGTTTCAGTAACCTGCAGTTAGTGTTGAAGCAGCCATGTCAGGGAGATGCTGTGTGTTTCTAGGCGAAAGCAAAAGCACTTTATTTGGCCTTCCGAAAGTAGATGCATTTAGGAATCTTTAAGATTACTTACAACAGAACAGCAATGCATTTTATGGACGACCTTTCGTGAACCTAGGAGAGGAGGTAATTCTGACTTTGCTATGACAATCTGGCGCTTCTGAATCAGCTACTGTTTTGTTATTAGTTTAAGTATTTGCTATTGACTGTTCAATGAGTTTTGCGCATGGTGTGTGTGTGTGTGTGTGCGCGTGCTTGAACTGATGGTAAAACTAATGACATCATTTACTGTCTTTACATTTATTTTGAAAGATGAAGCTCGCGATTATGGAAAGGGGCGTTACATTTCCGACGAGTGCTTGCGGTGTTCGGCCAATCACAATGCACTGAGTCAGCTGGCCAATCAGAGCAGACTGCGCTTGTTGGAAGGAGGGACTTTGTAGAAAACGAAGCGTTTGAGAGAGGCGGGGCATAGAGGACCTACAATAATGTACAGTATTTGAAAAATAATGTGTTTTTTGAACATTAAAGCATGTCAACATATTCTGTTACACCAAATACACAAAATAATGATCTTTAAAAAAGCATCATATGATCCCTTTAAATATTACTTTTCTAATTATTTTACAAAACCTTTGTAATTATTCAAATTATATTTTTGAATACTGTTTTTCTCTGAACTTTTTCGAGGACCTCCTTTGCGGCCCACTGGTGGTCCCCCGTCCCCGGTTAAAAAAAAAATCACTAATAATCACTAATCACTAATATGACTACTGTTCGTTTCAGAATAAATATACTATCATTAATATCATACTGATTCTAATGTTTGATTTTCATTCCTTGCTAAAAGGATTCTCACTGCAATTCCGCAGGAGATGGAGACGTTCTGTCGTAAAACAGTTGACAAAGACTTTGGATATTGGAACACTGATACAAAAGCAGTGTGAGCGAATTTTGGGCCACAACTACATAAATTAAACGTTTACTTTGTTATTCCTTATAGTTGCCTTTGTGAAAACAAATAGTCACATAAAAACTGTCTGTCCTGAAACTTCTCAATTTAGTATGTGTGGTTTTCAGCTCGTGTGAGGTGCTGCTTAAGGGTGTCAAGTGACTCTGCTACCACCCTGAATAGTACCACATGAACACGAAATGTCGCGTTTGGCCGCAACATGCAAGTTCAGATTGTCTAAAGTTCTCTGATGATACTCTTGTCATTAGGCTGCCGAACATGGGCGGTCACTTTTCTGTCTATATAAACATTAGCCCAGCACACCTCTTGAGATTAATCACTCGCGCACATGATCAGGCACAGTGCACATGTCTGAGCAGTCACAGTCTCGCCTATCTGGAATGAAAGCAGCTCAGTGATGGAGTTCAGAGAACTGGGAGCAGACGACAGTTCTGAGGGCGATATGGAGGATCTGGATAGTGTAAAAGCCCTGACAGAGAAACTCAAACTTCAAACGCGCAGACCGTCGTACCTAGAATGGAAGGAGCGACTGCAGGCTCGCCCGTGGACTGATGCCAGACACAGTTCAAATGTCAGCAGCCCAGGATCTGTGGAGAAGGACACTCAGCTAGCCGACATCTGGAAAGATGGGATGCCTTATAAGAATATATGCGGCTTTGATACTATAGACGACGCGTTAGAATGGCTCAGAAACGAACTGGTATTGTATTTATAAGCTTTATATATTTTATTTTTATTTAAACGTTTGATTAATTTTTATAAATGGTCATTGTATCTATCTATCTACCTATCTATCTGTCTATATATCTATCTATCTATCAATCTATCTATCAGCACGCAACACCATCAGTGGTTTTGGGATTTTTACCTCTCTACTGTCTTTGGGTCATTCAGTACAAAAATATATAAGATACACCACTGTTCAAATGTTTAGGGTCAGTAGTTTTTTTTTATTATTATTAATACTTTTATTCAGCAACAAGCACACATTAATTTAATCAAAAATAACAGTGAATATATTTATAATGTTACAAAAAAAATACTATTTCATATAAATCAGCTTTGTCATCACAGGAATAAATTACATTTTAAAAAATGAGCATAAGAGACTTCTTTCAAGAACATTAAAAAATCTTATCCACCTCAAACTTTTGAACTTTAGTGTATGAATTAATTAAATTATATAAAATATATGTAAATAATATACTGTATATAGATATACTTTATAAAAATATGTAATATAACAGTTAAACAGTTGATTTGACTTGGCTAAAGAACCAGACTGTTGTAAAGTGAGATGCATGTCAACTTCAGCATATATACAACGCAGGTGGCATGACTGTAGTCTCTTGGCATATCGCACTTAAATGCCACACAGGTGCAGAAACTTGAGTGGGTGTTTGACAGAAAGGTGTGCTCAGTGCCCTGCATGTGTGACTGCTCTTCCGAATAATTTAATCTTATAATTACTGCTGGTTATCAAAGACTTGGTGTGAGCTATAAAATCATTCTCCTCTCTTTCTCATTTGTCCTCAGAGGGAGATGCAGATGCAGGATAACCGTCTCGCACGGCAGTTGATTCGCTTACGCGTGGAGATCCACAGGTTGAAGGTGGAGCAGGTGTGTCACCGTCACAAAGAGATGCTGGATGATGCCACGTATGAGCTGGAGGAGTGCGAGGAGGACTCAGACCTGCTGTGTGACATCCCCATGAAAGCTGCCTTCACTCTGTCCACCCCTCTCAAACATCTTGGTCTCACCAGAATGAACCTCAACTCCAGACGATTCTCACTCTGTTGAGAGGCACGGCGATGAGAGACGCCCCTCAAGAAAATTTCTGTTACTTTTGCTGACACTGCATGGAAACCAAAGTTTTGTTTCATTTCAGTGTTAAAATTGGACCATAGCAAAAAAATAAAAACCAAAAATCACTTTCAGTATTCTTCAAATCACTAAGCCTTATTGAACTTTGTTTGACTTGACCACAGGTGGTCATATCTGGAAATGCAGTAGCCAGCACTAGTCTATACCACTTGTGAAGGCGGACTCAACACAGGTCTGAGAAAGTCGCCAGAGTTGGAAAAAAGTTTATATTTACATTTGAAAATAGCTGAACTGATCTGAAAATCAAGAGGAACCTGCTTCTGTGTCAAAAGGCATGAAATTGGCACACTCTCATGAGTGTTCCTGACTGCTCAGGGGAGGGAACACTCTCTCGTCAGCTTGGCTCTGATCCCGAGCAGCAGCCTTACAGGAAGTATGAGTTTGTGTTCAGGCATTTTCTCACCTTGTCTCTTAAAACCTAAAAATAACCCCCACTCTTCAGCTCAGAGCTGCAACAACTGAAAAGCTAATCTCAGCCCTCTGTTCAGCCCACTGTAGGTGGTTGGTCTTAAATAATTTGAGGGTACGTTTTTGAGAATCTTGTGCTTGGGAAATGTTGATTTACACAGTCAGTTTTTTATAGTGTCCTTTGTACGTCCACTGAACCCATTTAAGTTTAGAAGCACTGGAAATGTAACACTGCATTTGTGCATGGATACTGTAAGTGCTCATGTCTAAAGCTCCATGATAAAATGAAAACATATCACAGAGGACCTTTATATTTTGACAAATTTCAACTTGGGAATGAATGTGTGTTAACAATTGTTTAATATTTTTTAATATGTTTAATTTTTTATTTATTTTATATTTATGAAATGAATACTTCTGTTCAGCAAGAATGCATTGAATTGATCAAAAGTGAAAGAAAAGATTTTTGCATTTTCCATTTACAAAAAAATGAAGGATCATGAGACATTGAAGACTGGAGTAATGGCTGAAAATTCAGTTTTGTCATCACAGGAATAAATTACATTTTGAAATATAATAAAATAGAAGACAGGTCTTTTGAATTGTAGTAATATTTCTCAATATTACAGTTTTATACAGCTGTAATTTGGATCAGATACATGCAGATTTAGTGAGCATTAGAGACTTCTTTCAAAAACATCACAAACAGTCTTACAGACCCTAAACATTTGAACGGTAGTGTATATAATATTTTTTAATTAATAAAATGTTTGATGTACAAATGTTTAGTGCACTATAAGGGTATAAACCATGCTTTTGCTTTCAATCAACCTGTTTACTGAAATCGAGCACAATGACTGACTTTTTTTCACACAGGGCTAAAAAAAATACCTTAAATTTGCCTTAAATTAATAAAATGCCTTAAAGTTATTTTGAAGATAAATTGTGATTGATATTGTAATTTAGAAAAAAGGAGAAAAATATTGCTCATTCATTGGTACTCATTCACTATAATGAGTTTATGAATGTTATATTTGTAAATACATGTATTTAAAACCATTATTTTCTTGTTGATCAAAATTTCTTCACAGTATTGTGTTGATGTATGTATTTGTGTAATTATGCAAACTGTTTTGAGTAGCTCTTATCTCGCTTTGCTCAGATTCTTCCGTCTCGCACATCCTCACATGAATAAACCCAAAGGGTTTTTATGCAGTTATCACACAAATGAAATGAGATTATATTTATCAGAATAGGCTGCATTTATCGGTAAATGTGTCAAACAATGGACCAACTGCTTTATAGATTGTAACTGCAGTGACGGCACTGACTGACAAAAGGAGTCATGTGATGCATGCCAAGAAATGATCTCATGCTAGATAAATATATGGAGGGAGAGAGAAAGAGTGAGAGACCTGACAGGGAAAGCCATCTTTCCTAAAGCTGTTCTCAACACTAATATTACAAGCTTTTGAAGTTTATATCTCATAAACCCAGTGGCATTATGGCAAGTACCTTCATTGAACACTTCACATGAGGGCTACTTTAGATTTCTCCTTCAAACAGAAACATGAACTATTTAGTTCACCTGAGAAGACACAAAAGGTGTTTAGTTGTGTTCCAGATACAAATTCCCTCGAGGCCTAGAAAAGAAAACAAACACTGTGCCATGAAAGTGTCACTCTGCTTTGTAGAGCTTAAATGAAACCATCATGATAACCTACTTTGAACTTGAGTGCAAATGTGATAAAGGAAAAAGGTGTTTTGTTCATACAGTGTTTTCACTGAAACCTAAATTCTTCATCAAATTATTTGATGTGAATTCAAAATGTTAGATTTGCCTGTTATATAAATAGTCTATTTGCATCTCAAAAATGGGATGAAAAAACATCTACCCTATTTCCTGGAAATAAGTTGGTTGACATAAAGCTAAATGATCCTGCTATATAAACGGTTTTCAAAAGTTTTAAGGCCAAGGACTCACATGTATGAAGATCCCCTTGTTAGGAGCCCCTTTTCTAAAACATATAGCCAATACAGTTGAAGAATTATTGAAATATTATCTGAAAAATATTAGCTTATTTTAAATATATTTAAAATAAGCTAAATATATTTATAAATATACAAATATAATGAACATATATTTTGTTTTTCAACCCATTATAAAAATTAATACATTGATTAATATTTTTCCAACTCATGCAGCTTTACAGAAAATAAGACTGTACGACTAGTGCACAAGCTAAAGCCAACAATGGTAAAGAAATTCTCCTTAGAAAAGGACAACAAATATTTTTTATTATTTTTTTAACATGTATGCTCAATATTACAGTTTTATACAGCTGTAATTTGGATCAGATACATGCAGATTTAGTGAGCATTAGAGACTTCTTTCAAAAACATCACAAACAGTCTTACAGACCCTAAACATTTGAACGGTAGTGTATATAATATTTTTTAATTAATAAAATGTTTGATGTACAAATGTTTAGTGCACTATAAGGGTATAAACCATGCTTTTGCTTTCAATCAACCTGTTTACTGAAATCGAGCACAATGACTGACTTTTTTTCACACAGGGCTAAAAAAAATACCTTAAATTTGCCTTAAATTAATAAAATGCCTTAAAGTTATTTTGAAGATAAATTGTGATTGATATTGTAATTTAGAAAAAAGGAGAAAAATATTGCTCATTCATTGGTACTCATTCACTATAATGAGTTTATGAATGTTATATTTGTAAATACATGTATTTAAAACCATTATTTTCTTGTTGATCAAAATTTCTTCACAGTATTGTGTTGATGTATGTATTTGTGTAATTATGCAAACTGTTTTGAGTAGCTCTTATCTCGCTTTGCTCAGATTCTTCCGTCTCGCACATCCTCACATGAATAAACCCAAAGGGTTTTTATGCAGTTATCACACAAATGAAATGAGATTATATTTATCAGAATAGGCTGCATTTATCAGTAAATGTGTCAAACAATGGACCAACTGCTTTATAGATTGTAACTGCAGTGACGGCACTGACTGACAAAAGGAGTCATGTGATGCATGCCAAGAAATGATCTCATGCTAGATAAATATATGGAGGGAGAGAGAAAGAGTGAGAGACCTGACAGGGAAAGCCATCTTTCCTAAAGCTGTTCTCAACACTAATATTACAAGCTTTTGAAGTTTATATCTCATAAACCCAGTGGCATTATGGCAAGTACCTTCATTGAACACTTCACATGAGGGCTACTTTAGATTTCTCCTTCAAACAGAAACATGAACTATTTAGTTCACCTGAGAAGACACAAAAGGTGTTTAGTTGTGTTCCAGATACAAATTCCCTCGAGGCCTAGAAAAGAAAACAAACACTGTGCCATGAAAGTGTCACTCTGCTTTGTAGAGCTTAAATGAAACCATCATGATAACCTACTTTGAACTTGAGTGCAAATGTGATAAAGGAAAAAGGTGTTTTGTTCATACAGTGTTTTCACTGAAACCTAAATTCTTCATCAAATTATTTGATGTGAATTCAAAATGTTAGATTTGCCTGTTATATAAATAGTCTATTTGCATCTCAAAAATGGGATGAAAAAACATCTACCCTATTTCCTGGAAATAAGTTGGTTGACATAAAGCTAAATGATCCTGCTATATAAACGGTTTTCAAAAGTTTTAAGGCCAAGGACTCACATGTATGAAGATCCCCTTGTTAGGAGCCCCTTTTCTAAAACATATAGCCAATACAGTTGAAGAATTATTGAAATATTATCTGAAAAATATTAGCTTATTTTAAATATATTTAAAATAAGCTAAATATATTTATAAATATACAAATATAATGAACATATATTTTGTTTTTCAACCCATTATAAAAATTAATACATTGATTAATATTTTTCCAACTCATGCAGCTTTACAGAAAATAAGACTGTACGACTAGTGCACAAGCTAAAGCCAACAATGGTAAAGAAATTCTCCTTAGAAAAGGACAACAAATATTTTTTATTATTTTTTTAACATGTATGTTGCAAGGAAGGACAGATTAACACCTGTCACAAAACTATATGCATTTTTGTTGTTTAATTCTTCTGTTAAAACACATTAAATATATTTAATCTGTTACATTTTTCACAGCTCTCCTAGCACCCAAGACCCCAGTTTGAAATTTTTGGCAAGGATTCACAATCTCAAAGCATCAAATGAACATTTGCTCTTACAAGAGATGTAACTGTGAATATATAACTGTCTGTTACAGTTTTTTTTGCTTTGGTGCATTTCTCAAGTCAGAAATGAAATTCTCAAAACTACTTGTACATCTTCCACATCATCTAGTCATTATAGACAGAGGACAACACAAGAGTTACAAATTCTGACAATGAACTTTCTAATTTTTTTATTTTCATCTTTGTGCCCATATTTCTTTTTCCTTTTCTATATCACAATGACATTGTAATGTGTGTTGTTGTTTTTGTTTGTTTTTTTGGTCAGACCACTAGTAAAGTGTAACTGGGGATTCTATCCAGTCTCTTTCAATCAATATCCCACATACAGTAATGTGTACATTTGTACTTTTGAAATGGATATATGACATACTGTTCAACACAGTAACTGTCATCCAAAATGTTGCCATAGTTTACATCAGGTAATACTAACACTGTTATATTGACAACATGACTAAGCATTTTGACTCTTTTGTTTGTGAACAATGGCACAAGTGCTTTTCATTTTGATGGCACTGATATGTTCAAGACTATTGCACAGAGAACTATATAATAGATTTTGAGCAACATGACAATAACAACCGATAATGTAGGAAACCGCAGACAAATGTACACAATCAACTGCATGAATGTACCAAAGCAATTGCAACTTGTTCAAAAGAATGAGAAACTGCTTTTATAATGTGCACAATTGACTAGATGAGGTGGAGGTTGAACAAGTAGTTTTGAGAATTTCATTTCTGGTCTGAGAAATGCACCAAAGCGACTGAGAAAAACTGTAATTGACATAAATACTTACTTTTGAGAGATGAACTAAAGATTTTGAGTAAGTTACAGGCTTT